TTTTTTTTTTTTTTTTTTTTTTTTTTAAAAAGTTTTTTTTTTTTTTTTTTTTTTTGTTGCTGTTGTTTGTTCGTTTCTTTTTAGAAACAGGGTTTCTCTGTGTAGCTTTAGAGCCTGTCCTAGAACTCACTCTGTAGACCAAGCTGGCCACGAACTCAGAGATCCACCTGCCTCTGCCTCCGAGTGCTGGGATTAAAGGTGTGTGCCACTACCGCCTGCTGCTTCCTCTTCTTTTTTATTCAGTGGAGGACTCCATCCACTGGACATGCCTAAAGGTTTGTCACCTAGGTGCTTCTAGACCCTGAAGAGCTGACAGTCAGTATTAATGATCACATTTACCAACCTTTGTTCTCTTCCTAGGTCTGTTGAAGTAGAAACTATAGATTTGTTCCAACTGAAAGTGTGCCTATACTTCTTAAACGCTGATTGATAGTGCTGTAAAGGATTCAGCCATCAGGGATTATCTATTACCTCAATTTATGTCTCCAGGTTCTTTACAATATATTGTGAAGAAGGCAAAACACCCTTGCTTTTGGCCTTCATAGGCATTTTTATCTGAATGATCACAAACAAGACATTGCCCCTAAGTGAAAGTTATTTTGCAAACTTTCAGCAGAACCCAGCATCAGAAACTAGTGTTTCTTGCTGTTTTTCTCACCTTCTTCAGAGCTTTAAATCAAGACATGATAAGCACATGGAAGAGTAGGAAGGCATCACCATACTGATCTGTTCTTTGGAGCTGGGCATTCAGCCTTTTCAAAATCAAGCCCATTAACATTGCATCCTTGAATGCATACAACATAAGACTCACACCTACTGCTTTCTGTGTACTCTGCTTTTATTTTTCCTTCTGCAGTTGTGGCTTACTAAGCAGTTTTTGCAATTTTTAAAGCTACATCCTACCATGTTGTGCTACCCATGTTGATTAGCTGTGAACAAGCCTTAGTGGGACTTGCTTTAGTCCCCTCTTTTGGACGTTTCTCATGACTGGCCCTTGTAGTTACTACCCTAACTAGGAGCAGAAGTGGGGAATGGGAAATAGAGCAGGATCTGAAAATCCAGAGAGGAACGTAAGGCAGTGTCACAACTGGAGTTAGGCTCCTTCGCTGGGGTTCTCAGTGTGGGCAGTTGTTTTTATGTCAGTGTCTAGGATGGAGGTACAAGACTACAAGTCTCCAGGCACAAAGTAAGATTTTGCCCTAGAACTTATGCTGTGGGCCTGCAATCATTCTGCTTCTATTCTCCCTCCTAATCCTAACCAGTATCCAGGATCTATATCTGCCACCCCGGTGTGGGAGCAAATACATTCCTAGGAACAAGTGAGGAACATCTTTGACACAGTGGGTGAACTTTAGTTCAAACTTCTAGCCGAAGGATGCCTGTAGAACTTGGAATGTGCACACACCATGCTGTGAGAGTGGGCGCATGCCAATCCACTGTATTGCTGGTGCAAAGAACAGGCAGTGTACAAGAAATAGCCAGTAATTCGACAGTGTCCAACAGTGTGATAGAATGGCTGAAGAGGTAGATTCAAAAGGATCTTAGATGTCATGCTAACTCATAACCTAGGCTCTGTCTTGTCACTAGCTGGTGGGCAGGTCTGAGGGGTTTGATGTGTTCATTTGATGTCATGGTTATGTCAGAGTTTTGGAAAGCTCACTCTGACTAGTGGTAAGGGCATCCTTGAGTCTGTGCCCTAGTCTGGATGAGAAGCGATGATGACCCAAAGGGGGAAAAGACACTGAGATGAAGTGTCTTGTGGGATTAAACAATTGGAGATGGGACTAAAGGCAAAGGAAGACTTTCAAGCTCTGGTGTAGATGGATAAAGTAATTTTGGGCACCAAAATAAAAAAAGTAAGAAAAAAAATGGAAACAATAATTGTTAAGGAAGAAGACTGAATAATATGTTCAAATTAGAAGATCCCTGTGTAATTGGGTAAATTATCTGACTCTCTCTTTCCCTACAAATTTATGCATACTCAGATTTGCTCTGATGAAGACTGAGTTTACTGGTACTTTCCTAGTTTCTCTGGGTTCATGGTAAGATGCATGATACAGTACAACAGACAGAAAGTGGCCAGCAGTCCATTAGTGTTCACAGTCCCTGGCCACAAAGAGAGACTTGGTAGTTCCAACTTCCCCATTTAGAACATATTAAATATGAAGTGCCTGTTGAGTTTCTCCACAATAAAGTACATGTAAGGAGGCTGCCTGTACAGATTTGAGACTCACAAAGTAATCTGAGAGTTTGGAAATTGCTTTTGAAAAGCAAATCTTAACTCCCTGACTGTGAACCTTGATATTTTTAAAAGGAAGTTTATTCTTTCTTATTCCTGGTATGGGGGAGTTTTAATGGAACTTTACTGAGGAATTTAATGTTCAGCTAATGCTTTGCCTTTATCTATATAACTACTTAGAGCCTGACTATATACGCACACTTGTAGCATTTAAATTGTAAATATACGAGATGACAGCTATTGGGGGAGTAGGGGCTCTTTCTTTTTTAAGAGTAGGAAGAGACAAAGTTGCCAAGTATTTCCCCCTGTTCTGTTTTCTTTTTTAATATTGCTTATTAAATGCTAATGCCACAGATATTTTTATGATAACCAACCAGGTCACATTTGGCTTCAGAGACAAGGAGTAATCTTTTCTTTGGGTAACTCAGTGACACATCCACATGTTGTTCTTTTGGTAGGGCCACAGTGCGTGTCCATAGGAAGAACCACCTGGAGGAATTGCATGAGGCTGCACCCAGGATTTAACGAGGAACGCCAGGGTGGACAAACTTGGACATGTCAGTGTCGCCCTTCTATAGTGCTCCATTCTTTTGCAGTCCCAGAGAAATGTTGCTAGAAGAGAATATTATGTGGAATGAGGCCTTCCCCCATGTTTTATGACGAACATCTATTCTACAAATACCACGTGCTCTAGTCTGGAAGAAGCAAGCCGCCATTTACAACAGACCTGAGAACATGAGAATGTTTGTTAGTGGCAGAAGAGTCAAAAGATGGAAATTTTTTCAACTGTTTGCCACTTGCTTTATATTAAGCTTCATGGTTTTTTGGGGCCCGATCAAAAACCACATTGTGAACCATATGAAGGCCTACTCCTACAGATACCTCGTGAATAGCTATGACTTTGTGAACGATTCCCTTTCTCTCAAGCACAGCTCCGAGCAACCTCACTTCCCGTACTTGATCAACCACAAGGAGAAGTGTCAGGCTCAAGATGTCCTCCTCTTATTGTTTATAAAGACTGCCCCTGCAAACTATGACAGACGTTCTGCAATCAGAAAAACGTGGGGCAGCGAGAGTTACGTTCAGTCCCGACTTAATGCCAACATCAAAATTCTGTTTGCCTTAGGAACTCCTGCTCCACCAAAGGGAGACGAGCTGCAAAAAAGACTGATTTGGGAAGCTCAGGTGTACAAGGATATAATTCAGCAAGATTTCGTTGATTCTTTCCACAATCTTACTTTAAAATTGCTCCTTCAGTTCAGCTGGACAAATACCTTTTGTCCACATGCCAAGTTCCTGATGACTGCCGATGATGACATATTTATCCACATGCCAAACCTCATTGCATACCTTCAAGGGCTAGAGCGGATGGGTGTTCGGGACTTTTGGATTGGTCATGTTCATCGTGGTAGCCCTCCCATTAGGGATAAAAGCAGCAAATACTACGTTCCCTACGACATGTACCACTGGGCAGCTTACCCCGACTACACGGCAGGGGCAGCCTATGTCATCTCCAGCGATGTCGCTGCCAAAGTCTACGAGGCGTCACAGATGCTGAATTCCAGTCTGTACATAGATGATGTGTTCATGGGCCTCTGTGCCAACAAAATGGGGATAGTGCCACAGGACCATATGTTTTTTTCTGGGGAAGGGAAGGTTCCGTATCATCCTTGCATCTATGAAAAGATGATGACATCTCACGGACACTTAAAAGACCTGCAGGACCTCTGGAGGGAGGCTACGAATCCTAAAGTAAAGAACATTTCAGGAGGGTTTTTTGGTCAGATATACTGCAGGTTGATTAAGATAGTTCTTTTCTGCAATTTCATTTACAGGAGTCCGTACCCTTGTAGGGCTGCATTTGCCTGACAGCACTTGAAGGCTGCACTGTGTTCACTCTCACTGAGCCAAACTTGGAGGGGGAAAAAAATCTATAAACGTTCCTCTCTACCCCAAGTAAAATAAACTGAAGGCAAAGAGATCATTCCAAATCCCAGGGGATTAAATGTTTGCGTGATTACAGAAACAAGTCAGTGTAAGGTCGAATTCATAGTTTAAAATTGTTTCAAGGACTTCAGATTTTAAAAGATTTAGAGCATGAGCAAAGGCAAAAGTAAAGCAAAGTTCAGGTTCTCACTTGGTGCCACATGTGTCTCTGAGGCGTGGAGAGCAATTGCCATGCCTTGGTATCAAAACAGTGGTTTGGGGGAAATACCTAGCAAATGGATAATGGAGCATTGCTAAGAAATTAATATATCTTTAGAACAAGCATTCTAATTTATTTTTATTAAAGAGTACTTAGTGGGGATGGGCAGGTGGTAGAGAAGAAAAGTATACCAACCTGAAGAAAGTTTCATTCTAATGAGGACATAGAGGAAAATGTCTACAATCCTGGCACAATTGAATCACTTAACATTGACATTCCTACCGCTATTTATCTAGATAGTTCTGGCACCATTTAAAATATATCGCTTTCTCAAATTTATTTTTTTTTTTTTTGAGACAGGGTTTCTCTGTGTAGCTTTGCGCTTTTCCTGGGACTCACTTGGTAGCCCAGGCTGGCCTCGAACTCACAGAGCTCCACCTGCCTCTGCCTCCCAAGTGCTGGGATTAAAGGCGTGCGCCACCACCGCCCGGCTTCAAATTTAATTTTTAACATAAAATTTGAAAAAGTCATCAGCTCTGCCCTCACCAGGACACTATGTAGACTTTCTCTAAAATTATCAAACAGGAGTAGTTCCTGGCCCCTGAGGGCCTTCTCTAGAGAGAAATTACCGTCAGCTCCAATAAGCTAGCTTTAATTTAATGAATTATTCAACGGGTTTTAAAGCATTAAATACTGGCCTTTGCTTAAGGTAGTTGTTTGAATCAGTATACATACTTACATAGAGGAATATAATAATGGAAAATACTTAAAAGAAGGACGGGCGAGGGGTGTAACTCAGCACCCAAAGAGAAAAGGCAAAGACACGTCCAAAGGCCCCTTTTCCTTGTAACTTGACATATTTTAGCTTGGAGTCCAAATCACAGCAGTGATCACTAAAATTAGCCCACCACTTACCGACAGGGTCTTGCAGGCCACAGATGTTGTTCCAAGCACAGACTTATAACTTGACAGTCTTTAATATGCTACCAAGTCTAAATAATCCATCATTTGGCTAAATAACTGTCAGTGATTATCTTTTAAATATTTCAAACATGGCAACAGAGCAAAAGAGTTTGGTAAGTTTGAGCTAAAAGTTTTGGTAAAGCAGCATGTCCTTTGTAACCAGAGGTTTGGCAGATGAAATAAAGTAAATTACACTAATTTTAAAAAGTAGCATAAAAAAATGTGACTATAATGCCAGCAGTGTACCAGCCCTGAAAGGACTAAGCAACGTCCATCCATGAGGACATGCAATGCTGGCCAAAACAGTGACCTCAACAAAAGCAGATGGACCACTTAACCAACCTCAGGCAGAGAGACACGTGCCAGTGAAAGCCCAGCTATCTTTAGGATAGTACTGGAAAAATGTAAAAAAAAAAAAAATTTAAAAATTTCTCAAAATACACAACTAAATGATCCCTGTGTTTTTGCAGGTAGATTTTTTTTTTAATGTTTACAGAAATCTTTGTGAATTTTTCTATTATGAGATTTGAAGCTTGTTTACACTGCTTGGATCATTTCTTACTAACCTCAAGATGTGGTGTTAAACATTCTAAGATAGTTATTTTTAGGGTATATTCAGGGTTTTAGATTATTACAGTTCGGATTTTTCTGATCAACTTTTTTTTTAAAAAAAAAAAAAAGCTAGAAAACAAAAGCATTATCTGAAAAGCAGTTTCATAGTTAATCCTCTCCAGTTGGCCCTTTGGTAACTGCTGGCTTTGGGTTCTTTTGGGTTCCTTGCAACTTTGAGCTGATAAAAGTTGCCACCGGCTGGAAAGCATCTCTCTGTGGCCACAGAGGTGGTCTTGTTTACATCCAGCGCTTCATGAAGCATTTTTCCATTTGAAGACTGAGCTCTCTTGAACTGTGTTCTGTTCCTTTATTTTTGCTTAGAATAGAATGCAACTGGTTTGAAGTCAAAGGAAATATGAAGGTACTTCGTGACTTTTGGAGTTCTTAGGTGATTCCACCATCAGACCCGAAGGCCTGAAAAGTGTTTGTAAACAGAAGAACTGTTCTAACCTTTTAAAAAGGAAAGAAAAATCTTGGTGCTGAAATGTAAGGCTTTTTTTGAAAATGAAAAATAAAATAGAAAAGGAAAACAAACTATTGGCCCAAATGGTCGCTTGAGTAAAAAATGCCTGTACGCCGTATTACTGCTAAAAGTTTCTTACTTCTTAATTGATTTGCATCTTTTTTTTCTTTCAGCTGTTAATTTTATACCAAAATGTTAAATATTTATATTGCGTGAGTTTTGGTCTTGTATGGCAAAATAATTAGGAGGTCTAAAAAAAAGCTATGCTTTCCAATAAATAACTTAAAAACCATCAGTAAAGTGTATTTAGCCTCCTGTGTGGGCATCATTTTGTATATAATCACCTTCTTTTTGATATTGCCCTATTTGTGTTTATATTGCCGCTCTGCTCAGTTTAGAGGATTGTAGCAGGACTCTTAGAGAGTCTTATTAATAAAATCAAACCTGGGGCCAGTTATTGGGGTGAAATGCTGGATGGTCAAAGAGACAGAACAAGCCACAGCTAACCTCACCTGGCCAACTTCTCAGCTGATCTTGTTTCCTCAGACTGGAAGCCTCTGTGTCCTCATATCCAAATGGCTCTCAGCTGAACTGTGCTGCTAGAAGCCTGAAAACAACCAGCCAAATGCTTCTAGTTTGTGGTCCTCACGCCTTATATACCTTTCTGCTTTCTACCACCACTCCCTGGGATTAAAGGCTCGCTTTCTGGGATTAAAGGCGTGTGTCACCAGGCCTGGCTATTTCCAATGTGGCCTTGAACTCACAGAGATCCAGAGGGATTTCTACCTCTGGAGTGCTAGGATTAAAGGTGTGAGTACCACCATTTTCTAGCCTTTGTATCTAGTGTCTGTTCTGTCTCTGACCCCAGATAAGTTTATTAGGGTGCACAATATTTTGGGGAGCACAATACCACCACAGAGAATTGCCAGGTCTTATTATGGAGCTACCTAATGAGGTCTGCTTCTGTGTTTATGGGGAAATGCTGTTTCTTAGTCACTTACTCAGAATGGCATGAAATAAAGAATATGCAGAGTTTTGTACTTGCAAGGCATGCCTGGGATGTCTGTAGTTTGAACCAAAGGTACTTCATCCCTTGGAAGAACTCATTAACTTAAGGTGTATTTTTGCAGCTACAATGAGAATAGGTCCTGTGATCTCTGAATGTGCCTGTTCTCCATTCTTCTGTGGTAATCAACGGGCTTTACATGTCTCCCTGTTCTTCCCAGTTGGTTATGTATCTGTACCAGAACAAGACTTAATTAGCTTTCTTCACACAGTTCCTTTGCTCTGCTTCTCAACTGCTGCTTCCAGTGTGGAACCTAAACTCTTCCATCTGGCTTTAGAAGCCTGATCTATTTATCCCCTGTTAGTTTACTTTGCCCACTCCTGACACCATCACAAATTCCTTTACTGTCTGTCCCTGAGGGTGCTGGGCTCCTTTGTCAAGAGCACTATCTCTGCTTCATGCAGCCAAAGGGGAATGCTCTGAAAAGCTCTGGTTGTAAAAGTCTGGAAGAGCCAAGTCTATATTAATGACATAAGATCACTGCAGACCTCCTGTAGGCCCCTCTCCCCCTGCCAGGCCACAGGGGACGCATGGCACACCTCCAGTCCTCTCTGTTGTCCCTCTTAACCCATCCCCATCTCCTGTAATTATCCACATGTCTCTACAGGTCATTGTAAAGAGAGACAAGAACCTGAAAACTTCAGCATGTGCCTCCTACAGCCTCATCCACACCTGTGACAACTACTACTGATTGTTCTGTTATTTTTTTCTTAACTGTAATGTAAATTCTGACAGTAGAGATTTGGCATATCCAATTACATTGTGATATTCTGGCAAGAAATTTACCTATGGAAAGATTGTTCAAAGCCCTTCATGGGTACTTTCTGATGTCAACATTTACTTACAGTACTTAAAAAAATTGCAATGTATGCAATACAATCTGAATATTTTACTGTTAAACATACTGTGTCTATAAACTTAAGCACCAATAACTCTTTATTTGTTAAATTTCAAATCTAGACTATCAAGAGTAAATAAGGAAATTAATATTAAATAATATAGCTAAGACTGGTGATGGCAACATTATGTAAGATGGTAAAGCACAACAGCCTTGTAGATTCTTTAATCTCATGGTGAATTTGACTAATTTTGCCTTAACAATGTTTCACAAGAGCATAGTGTTAGGATCCTACCCTCTCTCCTGTTATTGCGCAGCTTGGGGTCTTGCGTCTGACGTCATCAGGGGGCATTGGCGACTATGTATGCACCTTAAAAAGCCAGACGTGGACCCCCACCCTCTCTGTCTGCTCTCTGCCCTGCTCCTGCCATCTCTCTCTTTCCAGGTCTGGCTCTCCTCTCTCCTATCCCCTCCCTCCTTCCAATGAAGCTCTCTGTAACTCTGGTAGTCATGGCCGTGGCTTTTCCACCGGTAACCAGCGCCATTCATCCTTTCACATAGGTTTTTCATTAACTGCTTCACATTTTTTCTTTGTATTTCTTATAAGTATGATTTAATGGTCTACTGTAAATTAATACAATAATTCATCGACCAACCTAAACACATGTGTCTTAGTCATGGTTAATATTGCTATGATGAAGCACCATAACCAAAGTAACCGGGGAGGAAAGGGTTTATTTGGCTTACACACTATTCATCACTGAAGAAAGTCAGAACAGAAACTCAAACAGGGCAGGAACCTAGAGGCAGGAGGCTGGCTGCTGCTTACTGGCTTGCTCATCATGACTTGCTCAGCCTGCTTATAGCACCCAGAATCACCAGCCTGGGGATGGTATCACCCAGGATAGGCTGGGCCCTCTCCCATTAATCTACAGGCTTGCCTACAGATCACACTTATGGAGACTTTTTCTCAGTTGAGGTTCCCACCTCTCAGATGACTATAGCTTGTGTCAAGTTGACATAAAACTAGCCAGCATAACATGTAACTAAGACTTGTACAATTATAAAAGTAGGTAAATGTTTGAAGATAGAAAAATCCCAAAAGATAAATTGTTAATGGAAAACAACAGTGTATCACAGCCAAGTGGTGCTTTTTGGAGGACATGCCTCTAATATTTTATGTTCAAAAATTCTCAAATTGGGCTATTCACGGAAACTCAGGGAATATGTTTTATTTACTTGCTTTAATTTACTATTTTATATGTGCAGGTATGATGTCTGTAGTGTGTATGGACGTGTGGATGTGTGAGTGTCTGTGAGTGCTGGCATGCAGCACCCATGGAAATCAGAGGACTATCTTGAGTGCTAGTATTCTCACCTTCCTCAGAGTTTGAGAGAGGATCCTTTGTCCATTACTGCACACAACAGTGCTGGCTCACAAGTTTTTTTAATTCTCCAGTGTCTGCCTCCAACTTTTTGCCTTAGGCATGATGGGAATTACAGGTGCACACTACAGTATCCAGCATTACGTGGGGTGTAACTTCTGTCCTCCTCATATATACACAGCAAGAGCCTTGTTTACTGAGCCACCTCACAGCTTCAGGGACACATTTTACTTAAAAAAAAAAAAAAAACTTCTTTTGCTTGAATATAACTTGAAATGGATGAATATAAGGTAATCTATCTTACTAAAGGAACTTTTTTTTTGGAAGCTTGTTAAGATCTAGTCATAGACTCTTGGGATAAACGTAGTTCAAAGGTTGTATTAGTCAGGCTCTCTAAAGGAAGAGAAGTGATAGAATGAATGCATGTAGTAAAGGGGAATTTATTAGACTGGCATTGGTCTGTCTAATAAATTAGACATAGACAGAAGATGGTCCAGGTAGTCCAACAATAGCTATCTCGAAGCAAAGACTAAGAATCCTTTACTTGCTGGGTTCACAAGGTGTGATGTTTCAGCAATTCCTCTCTCTTCTCTCTCTCTCTCTCTCTCTCTCTCTCTCTCTCTCTCTCTCTCTCTCTCTCTCTCTCTGTCCTAGAGAATTCCCAAGAGCTCCTGATCTTCAGTCTATGTAGGAATCCTGAAGAATTTGGTACTTATACCAGCAAAGGAAAGCCTCAGAAACAAAATGGATGAACTTGCCAGAGAGCGTGAGGGCAAGAAAATAAAAAGACAAAGTTGTATCCATCCATGTCCCTTTCTGTGAGCTGCCACCATGTCTTAGTCACTGTTTTGTTGCTGTGAAGAGACACCATGACCACAGCAACTCGTATAAGGAAAACATTTAATTGGGGCTGGCTTACAGTTCTGAGGTTTAGTTCATTATCCTCATGGTGGGAAGCATGGGAGCATGCAGGCAGACATGGTAGCTGAGAGTTTATATCTAGATCCACAAGCAGTGGGAAGAGGGAGACTCTGAGCCCAGCATAGGCTCTTCAAACCTCAAAGCCCATCCCCAGTGGCACACTTCCTCCAAGAAGACCACGCTGTAGAAGTAACCGTCTTACTCAATAAGAAACACAGCCAATGCAAAGATGAAAGCCCAAGAGGTCAGAGCTAAGAGCCTTACCCTTTACTCTGCAGCTATCCTCTTCAGCCAAGAGAGCTACTTCCTGTGTGTTTGTCTTTATAAAGACTTTCTGTTCTGCCTTCTCATTGGTTGTAAACTCAACCACATGATCGCCTCGTCACAGCCTGTCTGTACAGACCTCCAGGTCTTCTATGGTTAGTATTGAGATTAAAGGCATGTGTCTCCATGCTGGCTGTATCCTTGAATACACAGAGATCCGCCTAGCTCTGCGTCCCAAGAGCTGGGATTAAAGACATGCACCACCACCGCCCAGCTTCTGCGATGGCTTGCTCTTAGCTCTGACCCCCAGGCAACTTTATTTATTAACATACAAATAAAATCACATTTCAGTACAAATAAAGTATCACCATACCACACCTTCTAATCCTTTTGAAAATGCCACTCCCTGATGACCAAGCATTCAAACCTGTGAGCCTATGGGGGCCATTCTCATTCAAAACACCACACACTAGAAGGTGTGGCCCAGATTTAGGGTGGGTATCCTGGTTCAAATAACCTGATTAAGAAAATACCCCACAAATGTGCCTAGTGGCCTGGAGTTTAGTTGAGTCCAGATGTAGTTAATCTGACAACCAAGATTAACCATCACAAGTACGCTCTTCATCAACTTGACACACAATCACATCACCTTATGTCATGCTTTATTTCCAAAAGAAAATAAACAGGTCATAGTATCATCTAATA